CTGTAAATGCATTAATATCCCTTGCCTTGTCAGGAAAACCATGAAGACTACTAACTTAGGAATGGTGTTTACAGAGTTAGCTGTGGAAGCAAGGTTTCTCTGTTAAATTCCCTTTTCTGACACAGGCTTAGCAAGATCACTTCGTCTTTCTGTATCCTATTTTTCCTTCTTTAAAGTGTTGGCAACTATATAGGCACGGTGGATGTCAATGGGCTGCAATATATGGGATTGCACAATGAATTAATTTGTTGTTTCCTTAAAGCTAATATATTTTCTCCTCTGCCAAACATTAATTACTCCAGCTGCAAGAATAGGTGTCATTAGAAATAGAAATTTACTGCACAATGCAGCTTAGGTTTTGGACATACTTCAAATGCTGAAGTATTTACAGTAAGTGGAGGAAAAAAAAATGCCCCCATCTTAGTGGTCTTCACTGCCATATGGGCATTTCTCTGCATGTTTGGCAGTGTATTACAACTTGGCACTGGCTGTGTTTTCATTTCAAACAATTTTTGAGCAGTGAGTTTTGATGCTGCTGTGAAATGCTTGTCTCATGTTTTACGCTGATGTGGGTTCCTAAAAATTATTAAGAAGCACCCAAGCACAAAAATAAAACCTGGTAGGTTCTGCCTAAATTAGTGCTGGGATTAGCCTAGTGTAATGATCACTTCTGAAGTCTGGAATAATATCAGGGAAACAAGACTCTATAATATTTGTGATATCCAACTTGTTCCAAATGTTTGCACCTTCTGCTTAACCTCTCAGAACAGTGTTTCTTAATTTTCTACGATCAGTGATACTTAGCACTTGAATAGCACTCTTCACTTTCAAAACGTTATATAGATATTAAACATTTTTCCCAAACTCACGCAAAGGCTGAGAACTGAGGAAAAAAATTTAAAGGTGTTAGTGGAAATCTGGTGCATATGTTTTGTGCTTTTGACAATCACACCCACTCCTGTTGCTATTTTGCTAATAAGGGAACTAAGATGGCCAGATCATATCACCACAGCTGTTTAACTAGGTTGTGGCAAGCTCTGTTCCCTGTTTCAGTGTTTTATCCACATCTCACAGTAATCACTGGGCTTACTATATCTGTAACCTCAAAATGTGTTATCTGTTCTGTGTGACCCAGGGTCCTGTTTGTGAAAGTCTTTCTCTAGAAGGCACTGAACAGGAATTTTTCTGATGCTGGTGCAATCACAACATTGGTGACAGCTCTAAAATAAAAGTTAAATCATTTAAATTGATTTCCTTTGTTATTAAAAATTAGCTATCCTAATTGAAAAGTAGACTTAATGGGCTGACTGGAAAAAGAGCCCTTACTGCCATAGAGAAAGCCTTGTAGAGGTCTTGGTTCTGTCCTATATGATCCAAAAAGGGCTGAACAGTGGATGCAAGCAACTACCTGAGGATACAAAACATCTGCAAGAAGAACTGTTCTTTAAGATGTGCTTTTAGCAGTTGTGGAGAAAAAAAGGGAGCAGCTGTTAGTAATCAAGCCTGTCAGATAGGTGCCATTAAAAAGCTGTAAGGTTATTGGGATTGTTATTCTTTAAAATTGCAGTAAAAGCACTAAAAATGAGAACTGCCCAAGCAACCCATGAATAAGCAGACTCAGCCATATGAAAACATGTAGTCATGTCTGCGAGTTCAGAAAGCTCTGTACCCCTCTGATATTCCCCATGGCATGGCAGAACCTGTCTCAGGTATCTAACATACCTTAATATGTTATCCAGGTGAAGAAGCTTGCATAGATCCAGTAGACTTTGCTGAGAGCTGAACTTTCCCCTCTGCTGAAAGCTGCAGTGTTTGCAGGATGTAGTGTGGTATCCTGTAAGACTGCACTGCCATTGTCCAAAAAACATGAAAGAGCAAAGCAAAAAAAAAATGAATATTTTTCTATATGCTTTTCCCAGTTCTTTTACCAAATGAGAGGTCATTTTGTATCACCTCAGTTGACACCCAACAGATGCAGATGCGTTATTTTTATATACCTCTGCAAGACTGAGCACAAATAGAAGCAGGTGCTGTTCATCGGGTAGAAAATTAGAAATGACATGTCAGCCTCTTAAGTAACTAAAACTAGAGCTTGTAATTGGACATGTAGAGATCCAAATTGTACTTACAGCCTGAGAACTGAAAGGAGGAGGTGAGGATGACTGTGTCTCTCTGTTGTCCAAGGTAGTTAAGTTCTACATGAGTACAACAGTGCCTAGAGGGAAGATCTCCATTTGTTTTACAGCTGGGCCAACTGTCAGCTTGCAAAAGTATATTTTAAAGAGCCAGCAATGTTATCAAAGTTGTAAGCTTAAATACGGTTACGTTGTCAACTTAAACCTGGCTCTTAATTTGAAATGCTTAGGAAAGAGCACAGAAGTCAGCTCTCATATCCTTTTCATTTACTAATGGAGTAATCAACATCTGTAGAGCATGTAGCCACAAAATCTTTCGCTCAATGAAAAGTGTGCTCTTGTCTGAGATCTATAATCTCATTTTAATTAGTGCTGCAGATGATTACTCCAATCAAAGAAAGTCAGTGGCAAACATTGCCAGCTGCATTCATCGTTAACATCAGCTAGTGCGATGGCAGTCAGTGATTTTAAGTTAATATGTGGGCTCTAAGGTACAAATATCTGTTCAAGGACAAAGAACACTGCCCTGCTTTCTTTCTACTACTGCACTTTTGAAACACACCTTTCATTTTAGAACTTCCCAAATATGGAGCATTTCCAGTTTAGCATGTGTTTTACATCTGGGGTATGACAGTCTTGCATATTCTCTGCAATAGAAGATATTGTCATTTTTTTTAGTAATTTAATTATGTATGGATTCAGTATTGTATTGCATCTACCCAGTATTCAACATGGTTGCCAACTGTGTGGTTAGGGTTTTGAGATGTTGACAGGCTTCCATGGCAAGGTACATAATTATTTGGTGAGTTTTTAAGACAACAAATATTCAATACGGTGATAAAACTCAGACTGCTGCATGCTGATAAGGGCAATACCAGCAGGACCTGTTGTATGCCTGTTTGTGTGTGCACTGACATTTCTCCAGAGATCAGATGTCACTACTTGGTTAAGAAGAGGTGATGGATGATACTTACCTGCTTCTGGATTTATATGCATCTTCATCATATGTCCTCAGAGAAAACCTTATTTGAGAAGGCAGCAGATGACCTGCTACCAATAAAAATCCTTTATGAATGTAAATTTTACTAAGATATAGCCAAGATTTTAAAGGATTTCCACTGCTAAGCCATTAAAATTTTTCAAAGGTTACATGCAATCCAAGAACATTTACCAAGAAGGGCACAAGCATATTTAAACTCATGGATTATGTAAAATTCAGCAGGGTTATTTATTGTCTTCATCCTCAGAGAAGGGAATTATCTGGGCTTTTCTGAAGATGTTAGTACATGACTGTAAACTCTTTAAGGGAAGACATATTCCAAATAGCATTCTTCCTCTTCCTGAACCAGACCTTTCACGCAGAATGAGTGCTTGTGAGAGCTTTAAAATTATTTTGGTTGCATAGTTACCACTGTGATAACTTTTTTTTTAAGTTCTCGTTATGAGAGGTAGCTTTGAGTGTTTTAAATCTACCCATAAAGCTGCTGTAATCATTCCCTGCAATTACACTACAATGTACAACAATTAATTATATCAAAACCTTCTCACAGAAGTGTTTACCAGTGAAGAGATTGCCACAGCTTTATTTCTGGTAATAAAAGAGTAGGACATATTAGGCACCTCTTGGGATTTTATTGATCTAACATTCCTGTAGTCAGATTTATACTCATATTATTTTCCCTATAGGAAATAAACATTAGTTCTTGACAGGCATGATCTTTAAACAATATTTTATATGGGAAAAATATTCCCATGTATTTTTTCCTGTAGGAAACAAAGATCTGGATTTTTCACCAGATAACTCGAGTGAGTGACCTGACTTCATCTACAGCCTTGCTGGGATTCATGTGCAGGGTGTTCCCCTGGGAAACTGGGGCATGTCTACCCTGAAGACTGTTGGTGTAGGTGCCAGGCATAGGACTGGAGGAGGCTGACAACTGGTATCACTGTAGCTTGGTAATACAGAGCTCAGGGCAGGCTGAAGATCTTTTCCAGGATCTGGGTTGAATGCTTAGGCTTAGTTCATGCTGAACTGTGCCCAGACACTGTCTGATAGCCAGGTACCTTAAAGCTGGCTCTCAGTTTGTGCTTATGGAGTCCCTAGACTTATATACATGTCCTGTATTGATATACATGTCCTATACATGGGACTTTTTTTGCATAGGCATACCCAAGGCAGAGGTCCACTTCACACTGGTGGAAGAGCTAGTGCTGCTTGAGCAGGTGGTGCAGCACAGGGGGACGTGGACAGGGCATCTTTCAGTTTAGTTTCAAATTTCAGGAATCCAATGTGTGCAACCTAACACAGCTCCGAGGCATGAACCAAAGCACTGTGAGTGGGAATAACCAAGAGATGCCTGTTGAAAGCTCACCTCTGGTCTGAACTAGATGCTACGACAGGTGCATCCATTCACCTAAAGAAATGCATTATCCTGAGTATGGCTTTGATCCCGTGTATTTAGTTCTTCCAATGCACCCCTGTCTGCCAAGCACACTTCTGTCTGAGCCCAGGGAAGTGTCAAAAAAGGACAAGCTCCACAGCCACAAATTGCTGTTGGCAAGGTGACAAGGTGACTCTGGCTGCCAGATTTGTTTACTATATACTCTGATATGCTGGTTGTTCATTATTAAGTGAAACTGTAAATACCATCCTTTACTGTTCAGTTTCTCTGGAAAAAAAAAAAAAAAAATAGAGGATTCTGTAAAGATTAACTTCACAGTAGAAAGTTTTACTCCAAGCAAGACCTTTCCCACTGGAAAGGTGCAAGGGCTAGCTGTAACATAAAATATGACAAATTGCTGAGCAGTAAATGTTCCCAAGACTGATATAATCACCTGTCTCCATATCTTTATTCCCTTTCACAGAGCCATGTTTGACTACGACAAGAGCAAAGATAGTGGCCTCCCAAGCCAAGGACTCAGCTTTAAGTATGGAGACATTCTTCACGTCATCAATGCCTCGGACGATGAATGGTGGCAGGCGAGAAGGGTCACTCTGGAGGGAGACAGTGAGGAGATGGGAGTTATACCCAGCAAGAGGAGGTGAGTGCTGCCTCCTCCTTCCTAAACCCTTGGCCATGATGTTAAAATATTCCATTTTATTCCAAAGACAGGGTGCATCAATCTACTGAAAAAAAATGTGTAAAGATGAGGAAAATCCCACAACTGTTATTTCAAGAGTTGGAAGATGTTATTTTTGCTGTGAGATTTCGAGAGTTGAGGCTGTTTAACGATACTGAAAAGAAACTGAAAAGCTGACTCGTTTATAGTGGATTAGTATCTTCACAGTGAAAATAAAGAGCACCATCTACTAAAGAGCTTTGGCACAAAAAGGAATAACCAGAACCCAAGTCTGGGAATTAGCTCTGAATTTGAAGTAGAGCACATGTTTGAATGTCAGGGTGATTAGCCATTGCATCAAACTGCTGAGGGATGTAATGAATGTCTTGACATTTTCAAATCGAGACTGTATGTCTTTCTTTTGAGAGGGTAATAGAATTAAACTTCTCAGCCTGTGTGATGTAAAAAATGACACTAAACTATATAATGGTTCTCTTTGGCTTCAAAATCTGTTAATTTAATCTCTGCCTGTCTAGAAACTGATGGATAATCAATATCCCAGTAAATTTTTCATATAACGTAAATGAAGGAACTTTCATCCACTCTCCAAGCTAAATCTGAATCTTTGTTTAGCTGTGATGGATTCATGCTGACTGAAGAGAGAACAGACCTCTGAATCTCTCTCGTTGTTTGTATTGTTTAATCTGTCTAGGTGCTTTTGTAATATTGGCCACAAGCCTCTGATAGTATCAGAACTACCACACAAATCAGGATTACTTTCTGCCTCTGTTGATAGTTGCTATAGAAAGGTCAAGAACTGAAAGAGTAGGAGGAAAATGAAATCTGTCAAACCACATTACATTTCTCTTCTGCAGCAATACTCCCATGCTGCATATAAACTTTCTATTCCTAGCTATTTCAGCTTTAGCACTAATATAAAAATGACTATGCCCATTTTTTATAGTGGGGAAATGGGACATTTGATGCTCCCTATAGAGCACCTGCTTCTGTTTCAAGAGATTTGGCCCAGGTGCTAATAGAGCTTATGGTACTTGTTGTTCTAAATCATAGAATCACAGAATGGTTTGGGTTCGAAAGGACCTTAAGGACCATCAAGTTCCAACCCCCTGCCATGGGCAGGGACACCTCCCACTAGCCCAGGTTGCTCAAAGCCTCATCCAGCCTGGCCTTGAACCCCTCCAGGGATGGGGCATCCACACCTTCTCTGGGCAACCTGGGCCAGTGCCTCACCACCCTCACAGGAAAGATTTTCTTTCTAACATCTGCCCTCTTCCAATTTAAATCCATTACCCCTCATCCTGTCACTGCATGCCCTTGTAAAACATCCCTCCCCATCTCTCCTGTAGCCCCCTTTCAGCACTGGAAGCTGCTCTAAGGTCTCCCTGGAGCCTTCTCTTCTCCAAGCTCCACAACCCCAACTCTCTCAGCCTGTCCTCACAGGGGAGATGTTCACGTACAAGGGAACTGAAAGGCCATCAAATGCCTTGTTGATGTAAGCCCTGCAATGACCTTATTTTCTCTAATCATGACCATGTTTGAATAGCAACCACACCAGGATTTTCCGTGAAAAGCAATTGTGGAGTTGTGTAATAGATAGAAATAAAAACTACATTTTGACTTTTAAGATGGGAAAAATGTGCCCATTAAACAGATTTAGTCTCTAGATATTGAAAAAGGAATACTTGCCTGCTATTAATTGCTACAGTAAATACTGTTGTAATGACATGAGCAGATCACGTGGGAAAAGACAAAAGTCAATTCAGTTATTAGTGAGGGAAGTATGTGCACAAAGCTCACTTGCTGTGTAAGGTGTACTATGAAAAACTACAAAAAGCTGTAATGAATAGTAAAACAGCTACAGGAGAAAGAAGGGCAAAGCAAAGCAACTGATTAAGATGTGGAGTTCTGTCTTCTACAAGGTGGAGAGCATGTAAGTGCCTAAAGCTCATTGAGTTACCTGCATAGTGATGTTTTCAAGAAGGGCAAAAGATAGAGGCTCTCTAGTCAAGGTCAGACCTATGATACAACCTAGGAAAAATATATGGCTTAGGAAACACTGGGA